CCCCAAAACCCCAAAACCCCAAAACCCCGGGAATCAGTAGCCACATTGGTTACATTCCACTCTAATAATAATATTTAAGTAAATGTCACTGATTCCAGGTAAGCCAAAATAAGCATCTGTGTAGGCAATCGGAACAAAAATGTTGAAGTAATTCATAAAACATTCGATCTCATCGGTAAGCCAAAGCTAAGGATCCATAGGAGATCTACCCTCTGACAGATGGGCTGAAGCTATCTACAATACTTTTAACTATCAGAAGTTAACTGAAAAGTTCAAGGCTGATGGCAAGCAGCAAAAGGAATGCATGACGTATAACTACTTACTTGGTAAGACTATCCCTTACTGTAGACTTGCTTGACAACACATTGGAACAGAAGAACATGTATCTGAATAAAAATACAGTCAGTAAGTCTTCATTTCTAAATGTTATAGGCATCCAGAAGTTTAAAGATGACACCCCAGAAGAAAATGAGAAGGTGGCAACCCAAAAATTACCATTACAAAAAGAACAGAAGGTTGATGAGGAAATCAAAGTCAAAGATTCTCAATCCTCAAAGTTAGAGAGCTTGAAAAGTGCGAAGCCACAATCCACTGAAAAAGTATCCAAGCAGCAAATTATTGCAGATCCAGAGTCAGAAGGGTAAACTAGTTCTGTTATTATAGTCACGAAAAGTCTGTATTAGAGATCGAAGATTTACAGACTAAGAAAGCAACAGTTGAGCAAAATGAAAAAGATGACAATCTCAACTTACTTAGCTCTTCCACTAAGAAGCATCCGACAGCTGCGCTTCCAGTTTGAACTGAGACATTGCCAGAAATTTTAGATAACGAACTCCCAGTCGAACCTCAAGCAAAGGTGGAATCCTCTCAAAGTTCGGTCAAGGATGTGCTACCTGAAGAGCTAAAAGAAGAGAGCAAGCCAAATTCTACACTGAGCATTCTAAACCAATTTAAAAAAGTTAAAGTCGATAACAGACCATCATACAAGTCTAGCAAATACTTTTGGGAGGTAAGACTTAGTTTAAAATGTCACTAAAATTGTGAGAATCCCTTGTTGATGAATACTGAGAATAGCTCATGATACCAACGAATCTGGGAAAGTGCCAAATAGCTATATATTCTCACCACTCTCCTTTTTTATGAAAGAGAGATAGCCCAGATTAGAGTGCTAAAAGTTCAGTGAAATTATCATTCCTAAATATTTTCTCAGGGCACTAATCTAACGCAAAGTATAGTGACCTTGCTGCGGAAAGCAATTAAGATCCCCTAAATCTTTGAGGTTGCATATTAGAACTCATTGGTCTTTGAATAGAGAAGGAAGGCCTTACAAATGTCCAATTCCAGACTGTAATTTGTCCCTTAAGCAATATAGGTGAGAGAAGCCAGGGAGGATTTAACTTCAGATATCATTTCAATGTAAGCATTCATTGTAAATATAGTTACATTACAAAACCCATAAGAAACATCCTCTCTTCCAAAGAGAAATCCTTCGACAAAACTTCGATTTTGAGCTATACATCACACAGATCTCAGAAACCTATTTGGAGAAGGTACAGGAACTCAAGAAAAAGGTAATCCGCACTTAAATAAAGCCTTAAGCAGTATATTATTTTGAACGTTGCTTTACCAAGCTATTTCTCTATGCTTCGGCTTTCGAGTGTTTGAATCATCATCAAGAATTGTATTAACAAGCTGAAATCCATCTTCTTATTGTTCTAGTAGGATCAGGTTACTGATTATGCTATTAGTGTTGAGAGAATCAAGCTTTTATTTGTTTGATCTAGATTCACCAATACATGTCAGCTTCACCGCTTCCATTTCATCATCAAAAACATTTAGATTGGCATCACCTAATAAATTTATTACTAGTATTACATTACCACTGCGTATCTAAAATTAGAGCTTGAGAACATTTATTAGATCAAGCATAATCGAATTTGAACAATGAGGATTAACTCACTCTGATTTAACTTAGATAAACTTTCTCTTTTAACATCTTCTCAATACCCCAAAGACATTCTTTGGTCAATACAACAAGTGGGCATTCATAACTCTAATATAGAAACACAAGAGGCTTCTTCCAAGAGTTGACCTTGAGTTCAGTAACATTATGGGAATGAATTTCCAAGCATATGCAGAAACTCTTCACACAGAATAAGGAAATGGGACTTAATTTGGTCAAACGATTTTCAATGTTTCACTTATTTCTGGGGTTTTGGGGTTTTGGGGTTTTGGGG